ACACCCTGAAATTGCAAAACTTCTGAGCCAAGAAACAGAGTGGACGTCAAATGCCGTGGGCGACCACCATCCTCCCCCACCAGGCGAAACAGAGAACTTGAAAAAGGTCGCCGAACAGTTTGGCTTTCCCCAAGGAGGCGGAGCAGATCCCCCTCCTTTAGAAACAGCTCCGAAGCAGGATGTGCCCGCAACTTCTTCCAGCAAGGAAAAAAAGGAAAAAGGAAAGTCAAAGACATGTTGGAAAAAGCTCGATGGAGAGTGCAGGGCATGCCTTTGGACCCCCATTACAAGAGGCCTATCAGGTTGAGCACCAAAAAGAAGAAGAACTCTTCCAGCGAATCGACCAGCAGGTCAGCAAGCCTTTCCAGCGAGACAAGCAGCCTAGAGTCCGAGCATCGCTTGCGAAAAATTGACCAGAAACTCCCAGGGTATCTAGCGTTCAAAGCGCCCAAGGAGGCAGCCACCAATGGGGAGTAGGAGTGTACAGGCGGTACTACCGTCAGATTTTAGCACCCAAAGTGACAAGTAAAGCCATCCAGAGAGAAATGCTGACTTTATGCGCAGTCCTCGATCATTTGCTGGACGGCCAGATTCTCACAGTAGCAGACATAGCTGCTCAAAGGCTGAAATCTTTGGAGTTGCTGGCCGGCGGCAGCCCCGTCGAGCTTTCCAGCCAATTAGATTCTTCCCAAGGAGCTGTCCAACCTGGCGGGCCGAGAGGAGTCAAGATTTGCCCGAAGGGAATTTCAGAACGAGACCAAATTGAACCGCCAGTTAAAAGGCGGAGGAAAAAGCTCGGGAGGCAAGGATCAATTTCCGACTCACCTGAAAGGAAAGGGGGGCAAATCGAACTCGAAGGGCAGCAAAGCCCAGCAGTCGAAAGTCGTAGAGGTGAGTCAAACTTGAAGGAGGGTGGGGACGACCCTCCTGTAGGAGAGGCTATCGGTTTCTCCTCTGCAGCCGAATTTCGGTTGTCGCGCGCGTCGGCCCGGGGAGGGGCGGTTTGTCCGCGTCGGGTACAAGGCGGGGAAAGACTGTTGCTGATTTGGTGTATCAGGGAACGCGGGTTCTGCAATCCTTCCCCACTGAAAATTTTTCTAGGGCGCGAGACTTTTGTAAGGAAGGGATTTTTCCTCTTCCCTCACCCGAGGAGGTTAGCTCCTTTGAGTGTAAGATCAATAAGTTGTGGGCAGAAGGGATTGCGCGATGCCTAAATTGGATGAACGTAGGATTGGGGAAAGGCAAACCGTCCCGAGAGCAGAGAATGCTCCTAGAGGGGATAGTGCGGGAATTGCCCCTGCATATTGCTCGGAGTTTGAGGTGGGAGAACATTTCTGAAAGCCTTCCCCGGGAAGGAGTAGCCGGAATTTTGAATGCCTCTGAAGTTTGCGAGGACGGAATCAAAGAGTTCCTCTTGCATCCTGACTGGTTGCTAAAACCGGAGTCAGATCGGGTTTGGCTTAAACCCCCCAAAGTAATGATACCCCGGGATTGTTGGGAGGAGGTCACTGAAGGTCTCCTGAATAGGGGGGTTTGTGGAGTTTTCCCGTTGGAGAATGTTTTTCGGGTAGATGATAAACCAATATTGGGCGGTATTTTTGGGGTACCGAAAGGCAAAGCAACGAAGGATGGAGTAGAAATATTCCGCCTAATCATGGATTTGCGACCAATAAATTGCAAGTTCTTGTCCTTGGGAGGTGATTTGGAATCCCTCCCCATGATTTCCCAGCTCTTCCAATTGGAGCTTCAACCGCACGAACAATACTCATATCATCTGAAGATATTAAAAGAGCAATGTTTTACATTGTGGGAATCCCCAAAGTATGGTATCAGTTCTTGTGCTTTGACCGCGTGGTCTGCCCTCGATTCAATCCACCTGGGGATCCACGACCCCACGTCCTACACAGCCGGGTGTTACCCATGGGGTATATAAATTCGGTAGCCATAGCTCAACACTTGCATCGGCGCGCGGCCGCCAGGGCCATGGCTGCTTCACGCATTGTAGGCCCCCAAGACGAAATCAGGCGGGATCTGGAGCTGCCAAGAACCCAACATGCTTTTCGGGTGTATTTGGACAACTTTGACCAGTTGTCCGAAGTATCCCAAAGGGTCATTTTATCCCATACTCCCTCCTTGACAGAATTTCTGAGGAAGGAATACTTGCGGTTAAAGGTGCCCCGAAATGAGAAAAAGGCAGTTGATAGGCAAGCGCAGGCGGAAGTGCAAGGAGCATGGGTATGGCAATGCAGGTTTTTGTTGTGCAAAGGTTGGCAAAGTCAGTAAATACTTGTGGGCCCTCCTAGACCTCCTAACAAAAAAGGAGGTTAGCCAAAAGCAGATGCAAATGTTGACGGGTGGTTTAGTGTACCTGTTTGGGTTTCAAAGGCCTTTGATGTCAATTCTAAACCATGTCTGGGAGTTCATCGTGAGTTTTGAAAATGACAAGGTTGTAAAACCGATGCCGAGAAAAGTTATGGAAGAGTTGTTGGCTTCATTCTTTTTGTCCGCCACGGCTTTTATGGATTTTCGACTTTCTTCAAATCATATTGCTGCATGCTCTGATGCAAGCGAGACTGGTGGAGGATTGTGCCAGTCTGTGGGGCTGACCCAATTTGGTTCTCAGGCAGCAGAGTCGCTGGTGCGAGGTGAGTTTCCAGAATCTGGTGTCCAGGGAGGAGTTTTGGGGATCAGCGTTGGTGGGGGTGTAGGATCCTTAAGGGTTGCACTAGATAGCATTGGAGCTCCCATGTCCGGTTTCATTTCCATTGAACCAGGAGAAAACGCCCAGCGGGTCATTGAAAGTTTTTTTCCTTCCGCACGATTTCATGAATACATGGACATGGTTTGTTTTGAAGATGTGCGATCATGGGCTGCAGCGTTTCCAAATACCAAACTGGTGGTGCTTGGCGGGAGTCCACCCTCCCAAATTGCAAAAGGGAAGGGCGAGTTGGACATGACATGTGTTTTCCTCAGGTTGAAAACTTGGCTGACAAACATTTTTCATTGGTGTCCTGTAAAGATTTTGGTTGAGTCCCCCACTTGCATAACTAAAGCTGATCGAAGTCGGTTGAGCAAAACGATCGGTTTCCTGCCGTACGAACTCGATTCTTGCGGCATTTCTCCTTGCCACCGGCCGCGGTACTGGTGGTTCAACTGGGAAGTCACCGCACAGGAAGGTGTAGAGATCTACCCTCCTTCTGACCCACAAAGTAAAAATTTGGGAAAAATAATTCTTACTTGTGACTTTCGGAGCAAAGATTTCCTTCAGCCGGGTTGCGCCCTGGCAGGCGGTACAGAGCACAGGGTGCCGACTTTTACGGCCGCGCAGCCGCAGACTCAGCCAGGCTTCAGCAAACCGGCTTGGACAATTGCAGCCAACGCGATCTGCATTATTGGAAAGAAGACAGATGCCGGTTTCCTCCTTATGTCTATCAATTCAAACACGGGGTAATGCACAAGACACGCGGGTGGAGAATGTTGCAAGTAGAGGAGAAGGAAGCCATGATGTTCTTGCCCGTAGGCTACACATACCATTGCTGCACCAAAACCATCAGAAAGCAGAACCCGTTAGAATGGGATGGCTGGCGAATGACACTTGTTGGCAGTTCGTGGCATGTAGGAGTTGTCTCTTTCCTCCTTCAGGAGCTTCTAGCGACTCTAGGGCTCCTTCCACAGAAAACATTAGTTGAGACTCTCGCCCGGCTCAGGCCTGGCAGTGCTGAAAGCTTGGGCGCGCTGCTATTTCGACCGGCTTTTGCAACACGAAAACATGTTTTTCCAAAGTGGTCGTGATCTGATCAAAGAGCAGAACTTAGTTTCAGGATTGTGCCACCTGGTTTCGACCAAAGGCACGGATGTGTTGCTTAAGTCCACTACTGATACAGTACCCACCAGTCATCGTTTCCGACAAAATATTCCCCCAAAATTGTGGAGGTGGAAGGTTGTTTGCAGCTGGCGGTGGCCTGTCAGCCCACACGGTCCCCAACACATATAAACAAACTTGAAATCAAAGCCATCTACACATCCCTGAAATGGCGTATATTCCAAGAGAGAGCAAGTGCCTCCATTTGGTAGACTCAATGGTTTCACTTCAAGTTCTCAACAAAGGCCGGTCGTCAAGCCATAAACTGCGGTTGGTTTGTAAGAAGATAGCTTCCCTCCTGATTGCTTCTCGGATACTCCTGGTCTTGTCATACATAGAATCTTCCCGATCCGACAGGCCGAGCCGAAAACCTCAGAAACAAAATTGGGGAAGCGTAAAATAGTTGAAGCAGTTGACAAGCAGGAGCGTATCAAGAGGCGCAAAGGATTGGGAAAGCTAGCAGATTTAGTTATCCAACCACCCACTGCCACTAGGTATGAGAAAGCCTTAAAAAAGTTTTTCGGGGATTTGCAACAACTTTGGGAGGAAGGTGAACCTCTATCTTTGGCAGGTGACACCACTTCAGCAGTACAGCATCACCAGCCCTCCTTGCGTAAGCGTTTATCAGGAGCTTGGCGTTTGTATAAGGCATGGCAGCAGAGAGAGCTCCCAGCCAGGTCCCCTCCTTTCACCATAGAAACGCTCCAAGTGTTGCTCGGTTGGTTGCACAGCAAATCTCCACCGGTTGCCTTGGCTGTTTTCCTTGCTTTCCGATGTTTGCTAAGAACTGGAGAAATGTTAGCAGTAACTGCCCGTGACATAGTCATTCCGTCAAATTCTTGTTCAGGTGTTTTGTATCTGGGAGACACAAAAATTGCAGGACGGAATCCAAATGCAGGGATGGTGAACCTAACTGACCCGACTTTAGTTTTTTTGCTCAAAGCTTGGAAAAGTACAGTATCCCCTCACACAGCTTTGATCCCTTGGTCCTCTACAAAATTTCGCGCGCTATTTGAGGAAGGTTTAGTCGCAACAAGCCTCCAACACTACAAATTCAAACCGTATTCCCTACGCCGGGGAGGAGCCACAGATCAATGACTCCTGACCAAAAATTATGCCCAGGTTTCACATCTAGGAAGGTGGTCTTCAGAAGAAACGTTAAAAATCTACATCCAGGATTCCGTTGCCCTCCTCACAACTTTGCAATTTAAATCCTCTCCTACTCAATAGCGTTGGACCAGTTGAGCCTTTGTCTCACAGACAAAAAGGAGGGGGACGTGGAAGGAGGTCAAAGTGAAACTTTGTCTCAACTAAAAAAGGTTGTCTCATTTTTGTTTTATCAAAAAACTGACTCCTAAACCATGTTACTAGTCAAAGTCAAAATGTTGTTTAAAAAGTCGAGGCAGGGGGGAACACGTTCTGTTTTATTTTTTCTTTATGCCAACCAAGTCTTGCGCCAGCACCAAAAGGAGCGAGGGTGTTTTCCTACAAATCGTGCAACGTTCGTTTTGTGGTGCAGGCATGTGCAGGCGCATGGTTTCATGACTGTTTGAACAACAATATTTTCATTATCATTGGCAGGTGCAGGACATTCTCGTTTTTTTGATGTCTGGGTCGGTTTGAGGGGGTGGGGCAAAATTGGGAGGGGCTCTGGTAGCATTCTGTTCAAGTGCGTGTGGATGCTACGCTCTGGATCTCTGTCAAGCCACTTGTGATGCGCCCTTGATGCGACACTCTTAACTTTATCAAGGACCTTGTAACTTGTAACGGGGCGACAACGAGACATCAATTTTGCGCGTGTGTAATATGTATACATCATATACATCCTATTATATTCCCATTTTATCCATCAGTTATAGTCAGGTAGTCAGTATCCATGTTACCTGGACCATGCCTATATATCCCAATTATATCCATTACTAGGCCTATATATCCCCCATATATCGATGCTCGCCGGCCCCGCTGCTCGAGGCCCTTGAGTGCCCTTTGCAGCGTGCAGTCTGTGGCCTTCGACGGCGCCAGTCGCTTCTTGGCGGTGGCAGGGCAGGAGCGCTGGAGTTCGCCGAGTTCGGCTGGAGATTTGACATGAAAGACATGTGAAGCCAGACGAAATTGGATTTAGATGGATTTAGAACCTATTTTGTTGGTAACATTTAGTTTGCACTTGGATTTGACAACAGAATCTAGTGATGTAAACAAAAGGGAAATGCAGCAACCGAAATTGGGCTGGAATTCACCACACAGTGCTTCTTTTTTGCCAAAACAGTGGGGTTCAGCAAACAATTTTGGGAGTGCCGTCGAATACCTCACATGCATTAAGATTTAACTTTACCAGAGACTTGCAGTTCACTAGTCCAACAGGTGGATGTTTTATCAACCCAAAATGTGGGTTGAATCGGCGAAACTGCCTGCGAAAGATTTGGGATGAGGGGATGGGATGAGTTTTACTGTTTCCAGAAGGTGCGTCATAGAGCCTTGTTCCAGGACTCACGTGAGCGGCCAAACCTGTTGGTCTTCGATATGAGCCGTGCCAAAGGAGGGGCCATCAACCTCATCGCGCAGCAGTTTGGGCCGGATGTCACTTGCGTCAGGTTTCCCTTCGGCATTTGGGAGGGTGGAAATGGGGCTGGATGCACACGTCTGTAGTGAAACATATCTCCAACTCCAACTTCAGGCGATGGCCAAGTACTTGATAGACATAGAGTGCATGTTTACAATGTTTGATTTGATATATTGAGAACATGTAGCACCCGGAAAAATGGATTCATCGCTTCCCGTTTTGAATGCCACCTCCATTTGCACAGGTTTTCACCCTTCGAAGAGCTGAATTTGGTGAGTTGCGGCATGGAAAACATCCGCTTCTGGCGGGTGAAGGACAGGGGTATCAGCTGAATCTTCAGATTCTGTCAAAAGATATGAGAATTCACAACTGGCTACACCATATGCTGGCAATCAGCTGGCCGATTGCGTCCTGGCGATTTCAGTCAGGAGAAGCATATTCCGGGCTGCCTTGCCAGAAGCTAAGAACTGCTTGCATCCACATGGTGATCCAGACTTCTGAGCGAGCGGTTTATCCATCTCTTTTGTACTGTGGTAAACCCAATTTCATAAGTCATCCCCAAATGGTAGTTGTTTATGGCATTGGGTTTACCACATTTTATCAATTTCTTTGATACCAACATTGACCCGGCCACATGGGAGTTGATGCCTAATTCCACCAGTTTGATGGCTAATGAAGTAAACTCCCAATCAAGTCCCTATTTTTTTACTGCTTAAATCACATCCAATGAAATCTGAGGGCTAAATCCACTTATATAAATCAAATCCCTTATTTTTGCATGGTTCCTTCAGTTCCTTCCCTCAAAAATCGACCGTTTCTGCCCGAGGTGCCCCTCGGTGTGCTCGGCCGACAGACGCACTTCACCTGCCTTGGCTTCGAATGCCGGAAGAGGGGCGCAGCCCCCAGAGGGCCCCCAGAGGGCCCCAGGGCTGAGGGCGCGCTATGGGTTTTGAATCGGAGTTTAACATGAACTAACCATCAAGATCCACCAATAGGGATTTTCCCGGAGGGAAAATGGAAACTCATCTTCAACAATAGATTGGGACAAAGTGGAAATAGCCCGCAGTTACAAGTTGGTTTATAAACCCCAATATCTATTTACCCTAAAGCATCCTAAAGCTTAACTATATAACCAAGTTATAAACCAACTTAGCATAACTTAGCTATTTAGGGGGCTCCACTTTGTAGGGATTATCACTGGGAAACATCTTCAACAATAGATTGGGATATGTACCATGATACCCTGATGATTACTGATGTATCATGTATCTCATGGATAACCAGGTAAGATTAGCCTCATCGGGGGATGGTTTCATGGGAATTAAGAATGGATACAATGAATATCTGGATAGTGAGTAGTATCAACCCTCAAGGTTCGGGAGAGTGACGCGTTTCATATGCGTTTCATCAACAGGATGGTATTTACGCGAGAATGAGGGCTAATCTTCAACACTGGGATATGGATGAATGGGGTACTATTACCAATGGAGGATTACAATCAACAATGGAAATCCTTATCGTAATGAGGGGCTTATCTTCAACAATGGGATGACAACGGGATGCACTTCGATTTCTTGAGTCGGTGTTTTGAGGAGTGAGTCTTCCATGGGTCAATCCATGTTAACCTGGGAGAATCTATTGGGATTACTTCTATCCAAGATGATGAGTGATGAAAAACACAGGATCCATGTGTCTCTCGCTTGCCAAGCTATAACCACCATGTAAACAATGCAAAATCCCAACGCTTAGAGGCATTTCTGGGCGCAGATGGTTTTACCCAAACAACAAAGCATATCACTTTCTCTGACATGGTTCCTAACTTTCTCCCAATTAATTAGTGACCATCACATTTTATCATACATGACATTTTGCCCATATCATTTTCCCATCAAAAGTCAGGTCCGGTCGGTTTTTCTCGGCCCAGAAACCCAGGTCACTCGTTCTTCCTGGGGGAGACCGCCTCGAAGCTCCGGGTCTTTGTCAGCACCTCTGATGGCCGGCTGTTGCAGGTGGGCTATCAGAGTCGAAAGGTGCTGTCCGTGCACCAGCTGCACAGCGAGGCAGGCGGATGTGGCTTCGGGTCAGGCTGTGGGCAGCCCAATGCCATAAACGACCATTTGGGGATTGGGGATAGTTAGTGGGTTTGCCACATTACCCGTCATTACCCCATTTCATCCACTAGTCTAGATTTTCTTTAGGAAATTGCAATTTTACACTATTTTATGGGTCTCCATTTTCACAGAGGCCCATTTGCCTAAAGCTACGTTGAGTTTCGGTGCTACTTAGCGGGAAGGCCATCACCTGGATTTGTGCCAATGACGTCTTTGTGGTCACGGCTGGCTGCGACCACTTTGTCCGTGCCGGGGTGCCCACATTGTCGATGAGAGGACACTGGGAGAGAATCAATTGTTTTGCAGTTGAAGAGCGGTGGGCTTGATGCTAGAAAAGTACATGAACAACAATGCAGGGTTTCGCCACTCGGCAAAGTTGAAGACCCTCGGCTCAAAGATGTCGTGGCTGCTGCTTCATGATGCTTCATCGATGCGTTGGTAAACATTCACTCCTCACAAGTAGATGAAGTAGACGACTTTGAATAGATTCCCATTTTCAACTATTTTCTATCTTGCAGATTCTTGCCCGGCGTGATGATCAGATATGATCAAGCTATATCAAGCTTGTTTTGATGTGACTTGCGGATTTCTTTTCAGATTTCCACCGAGGTTTGGCCCGTGGATTTCCATTCCTTCTACCTCCACTCGAAGCACGAGTCCGCAGTGGTGGGCATTGACATCACGGCGGATGGCCGCAAGGCCCTGTGGCGTTGTGTGGATCTGCTGTGGAGGTGAAGATTTTCTGGAGGTGTAACGGTGTAATCGCTTGAAATCGTTGGAACCCCGAAACTGTCGGGAAATGTGGTGTAACAACTGTAACATGCAGGTTCAATGTAGAATCACTGAATCACCAAACAAGATTCAGTTGAACTTCATTGGTTTCATGGTGAGGATTCTTGACACCAAATCTGCTTGGTGTCGCCGCGGCTGGTTTGTTGCGCAGGTCTTGTGTAGCAATGCCGATGGATCCCTCGGAGTGTGTGGCCCCCGTTTTGGAAATTGTTTGGTGATGGAAACGGTGATGAGTTCCATCCACCTGATTTTGGTATATGATGTATATGGCCCCTATATGGCTCCTTTTTTTGTTGATCCTGGATTCATTTCATTCCCGGCTTTGAGGCCATGTCCGTTTGTGAATTCTCAGCGCAGCATCCTTTCAGACTGTGCGCGTTTTGATTCAATGCCCGGCCCAGTGGAACCAGTGGTCAGGTTGGATGTTCGAAGCCACCAATACAAAGATATTAGCAGGCGCCCCTGCTTGACTCTTGGAAGGTCGCCAGGACGGATAGGACGGATAGGAGATGGAATCTGATGTGCACCAAATCCCAGCACCAGTCATTTCTGAGTCCTGCCTGGAGGAATCGATGTAAAATGTAAAATCTGTGACATAGTCCGGGACTGTCAGTTCGTTTGCTCCTTTTTTTTCCCATCTTTTCCTGTTCCAGCAGGTTTATCTTTGCTCCTTTGACCTCGGTCATGAGAGTCATGGATGATGAAGCAACATTAACCAGCCAACATTGACCACATGGCCAGGTCCCACAAGGCGGCTATCCTGCAGGCAGCTGGAAAGCTCAGATTCCCCCAAGTTGGCCAAAGGATGATGATGATGATGATGATGATGATGATGATCTTGACATATATTTTCACATGTTTTGACTACCCATGAGCACCGTGACGACCGAGGCTGTGTCCGAAAGCTTCCAGGAAGTTGCCACCGCTGCCAGCGACGGGAGCATCAAGGCTGGGACTGGGATGGACATGGATGGACCAAAGCCCATGCTTTTCCAAATCTTTTCCATAGATTTGAGTGGATCAACATACTTGGGGGTGAACTACAGGGCACCAGACTTTTGATAGCCATATTATCCCATATGTGATCAGGATTCCTATCGAGATGATTCAGCTTTAAGATACTTGACGCAACCAAGACCGGCAAGCCAAGACCGGCATTTCAGCATTTCACTATCAAAACCCGGGTGTTGACCTGTCCTTGCTCCAGGCTTCCAAAGGTATGACCTCGGTATGTTTCCTAGGCGGAGGTTGTAACTTTGGCCCAGGCCATTGAGATGAGAACCGAAAGACATGAACTCTTGCCGCTAGTGAGGCCAACAGGTAACTTGGTGACCTTGGGACGCCGCGCAGGTCTGGAAATTACCGCACTGGGAGGAAGTGCACGAATTCCTGGTAGATGACCAGCCGCAGGTGCCACGGGGTGTGATGCATTGCCATAAACCATCATAAACCTCCCAACAAACCAGAAATATCCAGAAATAGCTGGTGTAAACCATCCCCAAAAGGGTTGTTGATCATGGGGTCGAGCCCGAAGAAACTGTCCGTCCAGGAGTCCCCAGATGTTGACCTTTTGGCGCGTTGTCTCCGGAACTGAACCATGACGGGAGGTATCAACACGAAAATCCCTATAGAAGTCATTCATGTAAGCCGCGCACACGAACATCCACAGCTTATAAATCATGAATCAATGATGAATACAAACAGACCTACATTGCAGATTCCAGAAGATGTGCACATGTAGGTATATAAAATTATGTAAAAAGAATAGATAGATATAAACTGATATAAATGATATATATATAATGAATATAATAGGATATGACAACAAGCGCACACACACATATATATATTTCATTTTATTTCTTTATTTATATATTTCTTTATTTATTTATACATGCACATACACCTACAGAACAATCTCAGGGTTGAAGCCACGCCCATGCAGACGCTGGTCTTCCACCCGCAATCGCACTGGCTGGCGGTGTCCTTCCTGTCGGGTGCGGTGCGTATTTTCGACGTGGAGACCCAGGTGAGTTATGGCTGGTTGATGGTTGTTTTCTCCCATGTGTATATTCCGATAATGTTCTTTAATGGATTAAATAATGGATAATATAGATTAATGTCTAGATTATATATTGGGGTTTTATATATAATATATATATATAGATAATATATAGATACATATATAGATACATATATACACATGTATGGATCCTGGGCGCGGATGTTTTTAAACCTTGGGGCACTAACGGTGAGCGCTGCCGTTCCAGGCGCAGTTTCGAGAACTCCAACTGGGACGGTCTCCGGTGTTGGCCTTGCGATTCATAGGTGGGGGAAGCGAATCCAGCTGGAGGTGCTGTATATTGTAGATATAATATATGGATATGGATCAATACCTATTAATACCATTTTTAGGGGAATGAACATCCATTTACCAGCTATTTTGATGTTCACCAGGGGTACAAGGTTTTGACACACTGCCATATAATATATGAATATTGTGGATATAACTGAATTCAAGTTTAATATTCTAGATATACCTGTAGATATGAACTCCGAATCCAATATTGTAGATATAAGAATAACCATTCTGGTTTATTGGAGTTGAATCTTGTAGATATAAATCATTGTGGCTGAATTCTATGGTTTATTGTTAGTTGATTGTAGGTATAACGAACTAGTTAATGGATGTGAATGGGGTTTATAAACGATCTTTTTTGACTGGGGACTGGGGGGCACCATCCTGGAGGTGTGTATGACAATTACTTGGTGAAAGAACCTTGTGTGAGTTGTTTGGAGAGTTAGAGTTATTTTGATGTGGAAAGACTTTATGGAGATAACCTGCATCAACTTTTTTCCCATATTCCAAACAAAATAGCAATTGAAACTCTTTGAGCGCTGTTTGGCTGTTTGGAACATTGCTGTGGTTTCAGACTCTCCTTAGAAAGAACATTTGAAACCATAGCAATGTTCGAAACAGTGCTAGACATTTTGAAGGTCAGGGTCTCCCCACCAAGCTCATGCCGGCGGTGGGCAAGAGCCGCTGTTGGTTGTAGGATGTTGTAGGTACAAAAGCTCCCTGACTTTGGTGATTACTTTTTGGTAAACAAACAGTTTGCCATGGAAAATCACGATTTTAATAGGTAGTTCATCTATAAATTATGCATCTCTAATAGCTATGTTGGTTCACTGGTGGTTATGTAGGAGTTGATTGGGATCACAACTTCACGTTGCCATGTACTTGGGGTCTATAATTGCAACTTAAATATGCAGCCAGCCATAGCCCTAGCGCAATGGCAGGGGCTGATGAACTTCAGGCAGGAAGCTGCTTCAGCTGGGGAAGAAATAAGACGTGACACGTCAACAACGGGTCTGAATAGGTCTCATGATCATCTGATCTTTTGTAAAGTTTGCTTGTTGGTTTCCATGACTATTCCCTCAGTACAATGACATATCTTGGCCATGCTCTTCCCATGGGAAACCTTCCATGACAGGGGGAGCAGCTGGTGATCTGCGATGCGTCCGGAACACTGGCAATCTTTGATCAGGCTGCACCCCGCTGTTCCCTCAGCGGCACCATCCTTTAACCTCCTGACCATTGCACAAAAAATGTTGAAACACAGCATGATGGTGCATTGATGTAATTATGTCCTTCCCTTTTGCATCTTCCGTAAATGTACAGTTGTATATCCTCCCGCTTTTCTTGAAAAATTGGTCCCTGACAAACCTCCAGTGGTAGGCCTTCAACTTGCTTCGCAGCTTCCAGTGTCCTGGAAGCTCCAGTGGCAAACCCTCCCTGAATGCAGAACCACAGAGGCACGTCTGCTGGGAGAAGCCGGTGCCGTGAGCTGGTTACACAAGCGACCTTAAACGTCGAAGGAAAGTGGATTCGTAGCTGTTGCTGTTGGTTCCGATATGTATGAGCGCATGACATTTCGGAAGTACAAGGTGTGTATATATCCATATGCATAGATAAATAACATATTATCATTATGTATATTATTATTATATATATATAGATATGTATATGTATATATATATATATATTCATGTACACAAGGTTTGGGATCACAGCAGGGTGCCCCCGATCTCTGACCTTAGAGGGTTCTACGTTCCTTCCGAACCCTCGGGCAATACTTTCTTGCCTTGCGGCCTTCATCCTCTGCGCTTCTGACCTGGCTTGCCCTGGAAGCTTCATTGGATTGGCAAGTGCTCTGCCGGTTAGGCCGACCGGCATCACCTTATTTCGTGGTCCCGACCACGCTAAAACCTCGGGTATTTTGGCCTTGGTGGTGGTGATCGATTTCCAGGACAACTTCGTGGTTGACTTGTCCCTCGAATCTTCCTGGACTATCTCACTGCCTACAGCATTTACATGCACATCAACCTTGTCTTCCTCTTGGTGATCCTCTTTGACATCAAAGATTACACCTACGCGCAGAAGGAGACAGAGACGCCAAAGAGCGATAGCCAAACTTCGGTGGTATTTTCATCGCAGAGGCTGGACGAGACTCTCCTATTTGCAGATTGCCTCGATCCACCAACAATTGAGTGTGCATCACTCCAAGGACAAGCAGTTCCTACGCAGACTCAAAGCAGCGATGATGGAGGCTGCGACTACGCCCTGGCGTTGCCATTGGTGCAAAAGACTCAACAAGTACTTTGCGACGAAGTGCGGATCGTGCTATTTGAGCTGGGAAAAGTGCATCGATATTCACTATGTCCATGGGCAAAAGCAGCAAGCAGCGGCTTCACCGAGGGCGTCTTCACGGAAGAAGTGGTCGCAGCCAAGCGATTGGACTCAATGGGGCAGTTCTACAACTACCCAAGCCAAGCAGGTTGCGTCACCACGAAAACGCCCCAAGACTCCGAAAAAAGCGAAGGAGCAGAAGGGAAACTATGGAACACCAGCGCTGGACCCGCCTTGGCAGTCTTCAGCGCTGGCACCCATGCCCTCGCAGACTACGCAGGCTTCTACGGGGTCAATGCAAGCCACGATTTTGCAAGAGTTGGTCACGGCGATCGAGCAGTCAGATCAACCAGTTCCAGAAGAAATCCAAGCGGTGGTCGACAAGGCCAAGAAACCGCCAGAACAGCCAGTTACTGCAAAATCAGTGAGGCAGGCCTTCGACAAGCTGGAGAAGAAACGCAAAACTCTCAATCATGCCATGGAGGCAAGAAGGAAGTTGCATGCCTCTTGGGCCAGCTATATCGAGGAGTCCATCTCACGATGGAAGCAGTATGCAGAAGATTTTACAAACAAAGACCAGGATTTGGAGAAGAAGGTGAGCGAAGCTCGAGAAGCCGTCCAGGATGCCCGCAGCAAATACGATGCGGCAAAGGAGGCGAACGACAAGCAGGATGTGGCTGCGCTGGAGGACGTGGAAGAGATCTCAGATGCGATGGAAGAGGAGCAGGTAGACAAGATTGTCTCTGCGGAGGATATCAAAGCAGGGATCCAGTCGGCTCTGGATGGCTTAGGGAACTTTCGAGTCACCCCCTTGGAAACGCATCCAGAAGCTACAGCGCTCAAAAAGCAGAAGACAGGCGATGGAGAAGACGATCCACGTGGTCTTGGCTCTTCTGCGTTGAAGCCTTTTCATCAGCCCGGCAAATAGACCTATGGAAGGAGGTTTGTCTTGGGCAAACGCCAGCCTGCTTTGAGCAGCCAGATCATCTCGTCCACCAATGGACGCACTCCATTTTGGAAGAGCCCACCTTTTTGAATGAATGGAAGGCCGGTTCCCAGGCCCTCGAATTAGCATTTCAAGTTTCCATGATGAATGGGTTGACTTTTGCAGGGAAGCCAGCAGTGCACACTTGTGACACGAAGCAGGTGAAGCCATGCATCAGCAATCGCAGTGTTTCCTTCTGTGATACTGTCGAGCTCTATGTGGGTCCTGAGCATGACCGGCATCTACAGATGTGGAGACAAAGAGTCGATATACCAATTAGCCAGAGCAGGCTTTTCAGACCCCTTGGGCACCTTCTGGGTGATGAAGTCTCGTTCATGGCCATGGGCAACAGATTCCCTCAACATGGACTCCATGATGAACCAACACCAATTGTGGAAGACCGTCAAATTGCGCGTGAACTTGACGAGTCTGATCAGGAAATGGAAGTTGAAGTTGAACTTGAGCAACCAGATGCAGAATCCTCTGATGATGAGCCTTCTCATGAACAAGACTGGTTTGCAACACTCATTTTTGCAATTGATTTCCAACCTCCTACTCCATTGCGAGTTGATTGGAACGACTATGAAACCATGCACTCTGGAGCTGCGGAGATTCTTGGAGTTACACGACACCAACTTCTCACGCTACACCATGTTGGAACACCGCCACAGGACTTTCATGACGCTGGAGTAGAGGCCCTGATCGGACATCGCCATGATGATCTTGAGCCTGGATCTACTTACAGATTGGTCCTTATTGATGTGGAATTCCACTCAGCGACCCCGGAAGAGCAACCGGAGGTTGTCAGAAGGGCTGCAAGAGTTCCACGGCAGATTGGCAGACTGACGCTGCTCAATCGGCTTGGCCTTAATGCTTACTGCCGAGCTACGAGCCAGTCATGCACTCTGTGGAGAAACGGTGAAATGGCCTCCAGATATAGTGCACTTCCTTTGGACATCAACCATGGTGATTACCTACGTGTTGTTGTTCCAGCAGGTGATCACGTGGCATCACATATTGGTACTCGCTGCGTGGCTAGTGCATGCCAACAGGGAATCACACTTAGTGAAATTTGCGATCGACATGCCTTGTTTGTTCTGGGATGGTATGACACCATCATTGGTCAACCTCTAGTCCCATTGCGACTTGATGGAGATGGCAGTTCCCTTTTGCAGCAGCTTACAGCGACGCCACCTCTTCCAGTGAGTCCATGGTTTCTACTGAAACGCAGCTTCTGTAAAATCAATACGACAGTGCCCACTGATCACTATGAGACAGATTTCAGTGAGACTACTCGTAGTATGGCTGACAGTGCTCCTCCTACTCTTCCGGGAGGCATGGCACCACGTCCTGGAATTGATGAACAGCCTGAGCATATACAAAACCTTCTAGGACAACTTGAGCAGGATGGTGCAATTGAGGTCGAAGAAGAGGGCCAGGTCTTGTATGTCAATGCATGGTTTCTCAACTATCCTGAACATGAACGTTGTCTGGAGTATCGCGCAGTACGCATAGCTGGAGATTTTGAGCATTGGAATCAGCAATTTACCAGGGCATGGAGAGATCGCATTGAACCTGGTATACCTGTCCATTTCCACCTTGTGCACCCACAACCTCCGACATCAAGAATGCAACCCATGGTGTTACCCCATGTCATCCTCATGCAGCGTGCACCTGAAGAGGGACGTGCGGCAGTAATCACACTTCTTGATTCACGTGGTGGCAATGATGGTTTTCAGCACTGTGCAGCCTTTCTCCCTCTTATCACAAGCAAAGTACATGTTATCGTTGCGGCCAACAGGATCAGCGATTGCATTCCTCAAACCTCTGAGCTGCAGTGCATGACTTGGCATGGTGATGTTCAACTACAAGGGGAGCACGGCATAATCATTCATCATGGTGCATCTTTCTTGCTCATACTCCAGGATGTGACACACATGAGGGTTGATGCTTGGGATGAAGAACCAGATGAAGCAGACCTCATGCAGGGCAGAACTACCCTGCGGAGCACTGAAAGTGATGAGACATCCGATGACATAGCTGGACAAGCCCAGCAGTCAACAATGAACCCATATGCTCTTGAGTTCCGACCAAGTAGCGCGTGTCTGCGCTTGCAGACTGAGTTCATCCAGGATCTACATGGACAATGGCAGACTAAAGCAGCCACAAGGGGAGAAGAGACAAAGTCATGCTTTGTCACGACATGGATGGTAGATCATGGACGGCAGCAACTTCATTGCGACCACCCTCGCACAGCCAAGCTTCATGATCAGCCGCAGTACTGGACTGAGACATTCAAGCATCTTTGGCGTGACATGATTCATGAAGGCGAACCAATTGAATTTTTCCTGGTTCAGCCCACACCGCCAGATGGAGAACATGACAATGCAGGACATGTCATCATCATTCAGAATCCACATGATGTTCTCATCACCAACCTGATCACTGTGTACAAGCATGAACAAGGGTTACAAGGTCCTGCAATGCAGATTGCAAGCACGACACATGAGCATCTGAAAGCTGAGCACATCATTGATGGCATTGGCCACACCGAATTGTGCTACAATGCAGATGCAATCTATCAATGTGAAGTTTGGTATGCAGAACATCAACTACCACGTGGCACTACATGGCCTGGTCGCAGCGGTACAAGTATAGTGGTGCACCTTTTACCTGCGGCACCCAGAGGCCCAGTGCTCCTTCAACTATCAGCATGTATCCTGACACATGGTCGTGAGCGCCAAACACATGGGCAGGTGGCTCACACCCATGGGCCACGACACATGTCTGACATGACGCAGTCCTCCCCCCTACAGGAAGAACGCCATGCCACGGAGATCATCAACAAAGATCCCACACTGCAGCTTCCGCAGTATATTGAGCTCACAGCCATGCCGTCCGCAGACGCAGTTAAGGCAGAGCTCCTTCTTTGGGGTCATGACCTCTTGGTATGGGATTGTCACCCACACAACAAATTTTTTGTATGCACAAGAGAGACAGAGGAGCCCTCGCCACTTCAACATCACCTCTTCTGTCATATTGATGCACATGATGAAGAAGGATGCTTTGTTCACAGTGATCATCAACGACTCTCAGAAGAACGATTGATGGAAGCACTCTGCAGTTTGGGCTATGCGCGAG